CTCTCCCTCGTGCTTGATCGAGGGAAGAACTTCGAGACATGTCGCTGTGATGGAATTTCCGCCGGCTGCCTCATGGTGAAGAAGACGATATGAAGGTACTTAACTAACTTTTATCCGTCTCGAGGAACCCCTTTGCTCCAAGAAATAGGGCTGGGAAACGGTGCGGTCTGGTCCAGACCAGACCATATATACGGTCTACGGTCCAGACCGAGAGGCTAAAGTATAGACCACAGACCAGACCACAGACTATACGGTCTGGTCCAGACCACGCTTGTGCGGTCTGGTTCGGTCTGGTCTGGTCCTGATAGACCACACTCAACGAAAAATGAATAATTTGTTTAGTGAACCACACAAAAAATTGAACCAATAACCAAGAAAAATAATTGTTATTTGCCCTAAAACATTAATCCTAACATGCATGAATAATTTTGATACTCTAAATCTTTATACATAATAAAGATACAAAGTAAAAGCATCTCAGCTTGCACCATAATGTCATAAACATTAACATAATGTCATATGGAGACACGATTATCTCTAGTCTGTGGTTAAATGTGGTTGTGAATGAATGAGGGAAGAGAAGAGATTCACAAAATTAAGGTTGAGACTTGGGTGTCGTTGTGGGAGTTAGGAGAGTGGTCGAATGAGTTGTTAACATGTATTGACAAGTTAGTTGGGTCTACGGTTTGGTCCGGTAAACCGCGGTCTGGACCAGACCAGACCAAGAGATCAAATCATAAAATAATACAGACCATGGACCAGACCAGACCATACTTCACGGTCTACGGTCCGGACCAAACTGTGCGATACGGTTTGGACCACGGTTTTACTAACGGTCTGGTCTATTTTCCCAGCCTACGAGAAACCCGTAAGCTAGTCGCTTCGATTTTTTCTGATTTGTTTCAAGTTTCTCACTTTATTCTTCTCTTGTCAGACCTGCCAGGTAAGCGACGAGTAAATCGGAGTTCATGGTGGTTGTTGTGGCAAGTGATTGACGGAGAACCCAAAATAATTAGATTTGTTTGGGATACAGGTTTGTATGATGGTGGGTTTTATCTTACACAAGTTTGTAGCTAGCTAAAAGGCTTTAACATCAACCAATTAATTTATACGAACCCTCATCTTAAACTACCGCCGCATTGTTCTCCTTACTATAGCGTACTTGGATTTGTTTCCAATTTGTTAACATCAGCCATCTTTGAGCTCACCAACTTGCGGATCTTGACTACGCAATTTTATCCTCTTCTCTGCTTCGAGCTTTCACCATGTTCACATTTGCTAGCCCCATTCGGATCATTCAGTATCCACAGCTTGATATCTTTATCTGGTCCTATGCATCCTTTATCCAATAATTACTTCACTAAACTTTTTGTGTTACATATGCTAATCTTTTATTATCCCCTCTCTATCTTGTAGGCACATCTTTTATGGAGTCAGGTATCTAATCTAACAAACATGGCTATAGACTATAGTCCTTTGTTCCTTCTATTAACTACGTACCTTCGGTTCACACATATCGTTGCTGCAGATTTTGATATGGTTTACCGTGTTAACTGTATGTCTTCCATTTATGTTATTCCATTGGTGTAAGAAATAGAATAGTTATCATCCATAATTGTACTGAATGCAAAATTAAACGAAGATGCTGCAAAATTAAACGAAGATGATGAATATGTTTTTTTTAAAGGATGTTTGTCCTTGGAGTCTTTGGATGGTGATTCAATCTTCTGAAGGATGTTTCCCAACGCTGCTACCACGAGTTTTGGTGGCTTAGAAAGCGGAAGGAAACCAACTCGATTGAGTCTCCCTTGGAAGGGGGATTTTCCTCTCTAAACTAGGCTAATGTGGCTAATTAGATTGCTAGCACCTAAATGCACAAACCTAGGGGTGCTAACTGCTAAGCACAATTATGCAAAATCCTTAGGTTGCTAAAGCACCCAAATGCACAAATCTAAAGATGTTAAGCACAAAACATGCACAACCCTTAAATTGCTAAGCACAAGTATGCACAATCATTGAATTGAACAATACCCAGTGACAATCATCCAAAATACATACAAGAAAGCTACATGGTAGAGTTAGGGTTCCACTACACCCAAGTGAAGTGATGTCTACTCCATGCTAGAAGTGGGAAAAACAAAAGGGAAAGAGGTGGAAACCATCTTTGAGAATGCTCCTAGTCTTCTTGGCCCTTGAGTTGAGTTTTCCTTGGAGGAAATCTTCCCAAAATCTGCCTTGAAGCCAAACCCTAACCTTCTTCTTCCCTTGGGTTCTATTTCTCTCACTAGAATGCCAAAGAAGGATTTACACACAAAAGTGGGCTCCCCCTCTCTCCTCCCTTCAGCTCATCTTTTAAACCAGAAATGAGCTGAGTTCACGGCCGTGAACCATGAAACGCGTCCGTGAACTCTAGGCGTGCGCCAAAATGCACCGCGTCGATCTCTTCAGTTCACGGTCAATTGCCTTTGTTCACGGTCTTAGTGACCGTGAACCCACCTTGCGTCAGTAACCTTCACTTTGGCTCTGGAAGCCTCGCGATTCTCGGCCATCTCCTCTTCTTCACGGTCATGCGCGACCGTGAAATCCCTTGGTTAGTCGTGAACTGACTCTTTTGCACCTCTTCTCCCGGTGTTCTATCCTTTTCTCCAATCTATCGACTCCGAGGCTGGTTTCACCTGTTTAATCCTGAAACACACTCAAACACAAAGACCCTAGCGTAAAACCAACATTTATGGAGTGAATTTGGCACAAACATCTAAATAAAACGGGCCAAAACATGTGCAATTAGTCCCGAATCAAAACAAAATCGAAATTTCATACAATGTGATTGTCAAGTTTTATATGAGGAAATTGTTCTCGAAAAAGGTAATTGCATATAACGAGAAAAAGAGTGAAAGATGGTTATGCTATAACAAAAAAAATTGTTAGCAGCCGAAAACAATGGTTATCATGGTGACGAATGAGAACATTCTTTTTGGTGGTTGTCAAACCTTCCCGTGAACTCGAAATAAGTTATGAATTTGAATTCACATTTCTCTTAAATTGATAAAAGACACGAAATGGATTGTCGCTTAATTTATCTCATCCGACCAACGGGCCGGACTTTGTGCTAGTTCAATTAAAGAGAGAATATTTGACCAGTTTGATTTTCAGTAATTTTTTTTACAAGAAAAATGTTTATTTTTTTACAAGAAAAATGTTTATTTTTGTCATTAAAAATAAAAACAATAATTGTTTAATGAAAATTCTATTGCTTTACATGGCACCATAATTAGTAAAATACGGTACATGTATGTAAGTTACATTATTTATATATATGTATGGAGTATTGTATAATATTTTAACATAAGAGTGTGTTTAAAAGTTCAGAATTAGCTATAAACTACTAGAAGTCTATAATTTAAAGTGAGTATATATATATATATAATTCAATAAATTATCAATTAAATTCCTTAAAACAATTAAGTGAAAAATTAAATAAACAATAAACAAGATATAGCTCTATAATATTATAATACCAAGAGCGAGAGTTTTAAACGAATTTAGTATGTATATGGGTATTAAAAAAATTTAACTAACCTATGTGGCAAATGTGACATCCGTGTCAACAAATGAAAAATGTCATACAGTATTATGATAAAAAAAAGGATTAACAGTTAGGTTAATAAAAAAAGTGTGTCAAAACCTATTTATCATTTGAAAATTCATACATTTTTGGTGTTCCAAAATTTTAGGTCTTAAACATTCATACGTTGCAACAAATTTTGATACAAAATTAAGTATTAACAACAAAAACAAAATCACATAAAAATTAATACACACCCCAACTGCCCATAGATGAAACCAATGTGCTGAAGTTATAGACTTGGATCCTGATAGCAGTAAAGCACCACAAAAAATGTAGTTCACATTAGATCAGATGAGATAGGATAGTAGCAGGTGTGCATAACCTTTGTTTTTTTAGGAAAAGGAGGGAGGGCACCTCCTATAGTTTATTAATTAGGCCAAATGACAATAGTCATTGTACGTACACTTGGTTGGAAATAAAAGAAGGGAAAACACCTATCCAGCTATTATTACAATCATTAATTGCAACAGGAAAATGAGCTAACAAATGAGCTATATTGAGCCTTTGGAGATGAATCCCAGCATCTTACATCCACTTGTGCAAAGTGTGTCAGCGGTATAGCCTGCCTTTCCTTTCCTCTTGAGTAAACAAGACTTGTAGCAGGCCGATTCTCCAACACCTATTTTCATGGTCTATGAGATCAGAAACACACTCCATCCCTATGCTGTCCTTGTTTCGGTTTCTTGTCTTATAGAGAAGGCACTCAGGAGTCCTCCCAGATCCTTATCCTTGCACCATTACATTACCCACTCTCCATCTGATGCCTTTCAGTATAAGCTCTCGGGCCGACAAAATGCTTCTCCAGGTGTAACTCGGGCCGGGGAAGTAGTCAGCCTTCAGGATTTTCCCGATGAAAGAATCGGGTTTATTCAAGAGGATCCATAATATAATTGTTCTGCCAGGAGCGCTTTGTTAAAGGCAACCAACTCCCCCTTCTTCCTTAGCTTTGCACATATACCGCCATTTCTTCCTATGGATCCTGTTTCTGTTTTCGTTTCCCCCACCAATAATTCGATATACGACTATTAATCTCACTAATCAGGCAACTTGAAGACATACATGGCAAAATTACCTTGCGCCAATGCTACTGCTTTGATGAGCACAAATTAATCTCCCTTCCTTCCTATACATTTTTTTTAGGTCAAGTCTCCCTTAATTAACATCATTGATGCATGTCTTAATAGATAATTAGAAATCAGCTGGTTCGATGGCATAGTTAATACAAGTGTAATTCATTTGATCGCAATTACAATGATTAACTTGTTATCAAAGTATCAAACTCTAGAACCATCAGTCACACCATTATATATATAATCAACATTTTTCTATGCATGTATGTATTGTATAAGAACCGTCGTGTGGCCTCAAAGAATCTCCCTACTGTTAAATCATCTGAACATAATCATATGCTGAAAAAAAGCACCGTTTGTAAAATCGTATTGCACCGGCTATTCGATCGAGAGAACCTCTTACCAGAGTATAAATCGATAAACGATTTTGAGCGACATGAAGCAATTGAACAATAACACTACTTTCAGCATAAAATATCACATCTTTTTTCGGAACCCCGTTTATTCCTTCCTAACGAAAGACGCTCCTTTCCATGAGTCATGTAACTTAATCTGACCTATACGGACCTATTCGGTCCTTTTCCATAGATGTCATGGCACGAGAGCACAACACAAGTGCTGTGCTGGTTATTCATTCAAAAAAGCTGCAGCCATTATCAAGTAGGTAGCCAGGCTAGCTAATTGGTGCAAGGCAATGTGACGAGTGGGCCTTGCTTGAGAACACACCAACACCTTCCGTCGGCGCTGTAAACCTTGCCGCAATTCAGCCCTTTGCATACAACGCGTAGGCAATAGTCGTCGTCAGAATCTGGCACCACACTCTCAGTAGCACTACTATCGTTGTTCTTCATCATCTCCTCCTTAACCCTGCTGGTCTGTGCCGCCGCACCTAATTAATATATTGATCATAGATCCAAGTATCAAACACACAAAAAAGAAAAAATCAGCCGTCCGTCCGTACGTACGTGAAAGAAAAACAAGACTCACCACCTGCTGTGGAAGTGGTGGCCAGCAGAAGAATGCAGAAGAGGAAAGCAAGCTTGAGTGAGATTCTTTTCTCCATATTTTCTTTGCCTTGTGAATTGTATGCTGATCGATCAGAATTTGTTCTCTACGTCTATCTATCTATCTATCTATAGGGAAACAAGAAGAACAATTTGCCCGTACGGGAAATGAGAGGCTAGAGATTGGCGGTGGGCGGTTGAAAGAATTTCCGACATTCAATTTTTGGCATCCCTTAATTAATGAATAGCTAGCGCATCGAAATTGGAATTTTTGTAGGATCAGTGTATGCAGTCAGTTCTTGTTTGCGCGGAAAATGTAAATTTGGAAGGAGAGATGCAGAGCCAGTTGGGTTTTTGGCCAATTTTGGAAGGAAATAGAAAGGGTGGTGATTCTTTATAGTTTCAGTCCACGTTAGTTAGTTGGTTGGTATATTTTGTTCGGATGGAAACTCATTAACTTTTATTTTTATTTACAATGAAATTGTACCTCTAACTTTATGGTATAATTTTTAGTTCTATCTATATTATTTTTTATAAATCTATTTATGGCCCAAAGTAAAGTTGTACATATATGTTATGGGTAGTTATCATAAACGGTCACAAATCTTTGCATTTAGTACAAAACGGTCACAATTCTTTAATTTGTAACGATACGATAACAAAAGTTTGAACTTGTACAAAATGGTCACTTCTGTTAATCTCCATCCAAATTTCTGTTAGATCTATCTAGTCAACATTCCACCTCATCAAAATAATTAATAAACAACTCCAATTTAACATTTGAAACCAACCTAAACTCAAACCCATAAAAAAATTGGTCAAAATCGGTTAAACCTTATATCACCACTCCATTGGGGGGTTCTCTTTCAATGGCTCGTTCTTTCTCCGATTTGCGAAATCCCCTCCCTCCATTCATCTGCTCCAATTTTCCTGGTTGATTTCGTGATTTGGTTCTACCCCTCCTCACCAAATAGAAAGCTACAAGCAGGATTATCTTGCTGCTTGCCTCAAATCATGGCCCCTCCACACTCAACTAGCTTGTCAATTTGCTTATTAAGCTCGGGATCAGATGGAGTTGGAGCTAAAGCGTGAGGACCATCAATATGGAAGGGTTGGTGGAGGTAAGTGAGAGGAGAAACCAAGGAGAGGCTGCTGGGGGTGGGGAAGGTGAGGATTTGGTGGCGCGTGAGGATGAGGATAGGGTTGAGGATTTTGTTGTTGCTGTGAGTGGTGAAGGGATGGCCATTGTTGTTGCGTCAAAGGATGAGGCGGCGGGATGAATGCCGACTGCGAGGGGGTTCGAAGAAGATGCCGCAGGGTGAGATAGGGTTTGCTCGGTTTTGGCCAATTTTTTTTTATGGGTTTGAGTTTAAGTTGGTTTCAAATGTTAAATTGAAATTGTTTATTAATTATTTTGATGAGGTGGAATGCTGACTAGATAGATCTAACAGAAATTTGGATGGAGATTAACAGAAGTGACCATTTCGTACAAGTTCAAACTTTTGTTACCGTATTGTTACAAATTAAAGAATTGTGACCGTTTTGTACTAAGTCCAAAGGTTTGTGACAGTTTATGATAACTACCCTATATGTTATTGTACAATTGAAGTTATATCATATTATAAAGGGCTAAATTACACGTTTGATCACTCAAATTATACAAATCTTTCACGTTTGCCATCCGAATTACTTTTCTTTCTTATTCGCCACTAACTTTACGAATTGTTTCACGGTTTGTCACCAGCCGTTACACTCCGTTAAGTTTGTCCTACGTGGCAGTCAACTATAAAGTTTGACCGTTAACTAGATGACGTGGAAATTAAAAAATATATAAAAAAATAAAATTTTCTTTCCACCTCATCATTGCACTTATTTTGTCTATATAATTTATCATATTAATAATTTAATAAAATTTATAAATTACAAAAATGGGCAAATCCAAATGCTCATCATCCTCACCCTCACCATCCACTCCATCGTTCAATCCCGACTATCTCCGGCATCAAGTCTAAAGGCGTCCGCCCCGACCTCATCGGCTCCATCGTCGCTCACTACGCCTCCAAGTGGCTCCCGGAGCTCTCCCTCTCCTCCTCCTCCTCCGTCGACGTCAACAACAGCGTCCCTATCGCCGCCGCGGCCGGCTCGAAAGATTGCGTCGACAAATACCTGTTCTGACGCGCTGGCCTTGCTGTACCGTGTGGACTCTGCTTTCGATTTGTAAACAGAGAGTAAACCCTTTTGGACCTTGACCACTCTGACGGCGTCGTTGACCCGAACCAGCCGGTCATTGAGGTCGCTGAACCACTCCGACGGCGCCACCGTCCCCCGCCACGCCACTACGATGTCCCGCCGGCCGATTCGCTTCAATTCGGCGTCGTCGCTGACCGCCACGTAGCTCATCCAATTGGAGTCCTTACTCCAAGTGGTGTAGGCTCGGGAGAGCCAGTTGGGGACGTCGACGTGGGACATGGCGTAGATGTAGCGGGTGGTGGTGTATCCGTGCTTTCTGGCGAGGCCCAATTCGTGGAGCATCTTGTGGCGGTTGTACCTGCAGCTGCCGCAGAACTCGGAGAGCGGGTCGAAGGCGTCGTAGGTCGCGGAGGCGAACTCCCCGTACTTGAGGATCTCGCAGCGGAGGGTTGGGTCGATTGGGTCGAGGAGTCCGTCCCAGTCGTCGATTTCGTGGAGCTCGCGCCCTGATTCTTCTCCTGGGTTGGAATGGGGAAGCCGGTAGCTGGAGGGTGGTCTGTCTTCTCAATGCTAACGGCGAGGCGTCCATGGCGGGTGAAATTGAAATTGAGAATGGTCAATTGAGGGAGGGAAGAAATGGGATGTTGAGAGGGAATGGGATTTTGATGAAGAGGACTGGGATGGATATGGGATTATATAGAGAGTGGGAGGGCAGTTGTCGACGCCGTTAAGATTGTGGCTCGGAACAGGTATTTGTCGACGCCGTCAGAGTGGTCAAGGTCCAAAAGGGTTTCCTCTCTGTTTACAAATCGAAAGCAGAGTCCACACAGATCAAGATAAGGATCATCAAGAGTCTCATCAGTTCGGCGGCGTCGATTGCGTCTCCCGGTGGCGGAAAGAAGCAGAGGAGTGGCAGTGATTAAACGATGGAGTGGATGGTGAGGGTGAGGATGGTGAGCATTTGGATTTGTCCATTTTTGTAATTTATTAAATTTTATTAAATTATTAATATGATAAATTATATAGACAAAATAAGTGTAATGATGAGGTGGAAAGAAAATTTATTTTTATTTTTATTTTTAATTTCCACGTCATCTAGTTAACGGTCAAACTTTTTAGTTGACTGCCACATAGGACAAATTTAACGGAGTGTAACAGCCGGTGACCAACCGTGAAACGATTCGTAAAGTTAGTGACGAATAAGAAAGAAAAGTAATTCAGGTGGCAAACATGAAAAATTTGTATAATTTGAGTGACCAAACGTGTAATTTAGCCTATTATAAAGCTACAACTTCAATTTGTGCTTTTAATAGTACTAGAATCAATACCCACGGCTACGCTGCGGGGACTTAAGTTGATGCAATATCATCTTCTTATGAGTATCGAAGAGGAACTGTTTAGGTAATTCTTGATTGGTATGCCTATCAGTCGTGTATCGGTGACTTGAAATGAGGAGAAAATCTCACAATGAAAATATGGTCAAGAGAATGCTTAATAGTTTGTCTCAACTAGTAAAAGAAAATGAGCATGCACATCAGTTTTTTAAAAGAGAACTTTGAGATCTGCAGCAACGAAAAAGAAGCAGATAAAGAGTACATCATATAGACAACAATAGGAAAATGTTCTAAATTATCCATGAAATATATAGATGATTTTGTTTAAGAACTAAAAATGACAATAGTTTGCCAAAGAGTTAAATTTCGTTCATATGAAAAGGACATGGCAGTAGCAGCAACAATACATTGAAGCAGTAGAAACTTGACACTTAACAGCAGGAACAAATGCTTTACTTCAACATCATCAACAGTATCTTTAGAGGACACAACCAATAACGCTTCCATTGAACCCACTCTCCCATTTGAAAGCTACTATGGGCCAGAACTCAAACACTATGCACTTGGCTAGTCAAATGGTTAACAAACAACATTAGGGCCAACTTTAGGTGCAAGAGCAACAGATGAAGTAGAGGAAAATTATGATGGAGCTGGAAGGGAAAATGAGAATGGAAACAACATGGTGTTGCTAGGAGCTCTAGGGCATGCAAATAAAACATACAAAATGAGGACAATGAGAGCATGGTATGTATGAGTAGCTAAAGTGGATACACGAAAGTACAAAGAGAAGTAGAACAACATTGCAAAGGAGAGGTAGAGAAACAACAAAGGGTAGCCATGTAACTACCATTGACTTTGCGGGGTAAGAAATCCGAAGTAGATAGCAGGGTTCAGGGATCCTGGAAGGCCGGAGGTCATATATATAAGTAAAAGAGTAGAATACAAAATCAATATATAGACTGAACCGATTGTAAGTAGAATGCAAGAGGTTAGGAACAGGGGTAGGCGAGCTGATCCCTCAACTGAGAAGCCTGACTTGTTCCATTTCTTGCTTCCATGTACCATCCCATACCCGCTTCAATAAATAAATAACGTGAGAGACATGTTAGATTTCCATGCTTAATTATAACAAATCAGGGTAAGTTAATAGTACCAATCAGTAGCAGGATGTAAACAAAAATCATCAAGTCAATATAAAAATTTTGATTGTGAAGTTCCTCGATATCTTTTAGAAGTACTATTGGAAGAAAATAAAAGTACAAAATATGGACAAAAACACTCCCTTCCATTATTGTTCCAATTCTCGATGACAATAGCATTTTCTCATGTTCAAGTTTCTGTCAACAAATTGAGTAAGAGATTAACAAACTCATCTGAACTTCAACATAATGCTTCTTTATTTTGTTGGATAAGTTTGGCAGAATGCTTTTCAAGTCTTCGAGTGAAACTTTAACTGTACTCAGTGGACATAGATTGAAAATGTAACAATACTCACTGCTTGTATACATAGCTTAGAAACGAAAGATAAATATGAAAACCAAACACTATCTATCTAGTACAAACGAAACCTTAGGAAAAATCTAAAGCTCCCTTCGTCTCTCCAACAGTTAGAGAAATGAACCTCAGAACCGAAGCTCATGCTCTAATTGTTGAAACTGTATGACATGAAAGCTGTAAGACCTTCAATAAGAAGGCTACTTTTGACATGGCATATAAGACTCAAATGCGCAATTGTCCAGATCAGAAAGATACACAACTATAATACTTCCAAAAAGAGGTTGTGTCCAGGACTTGAAGTCCTCTGACAGGTTATTGTTCATGAAGATTTTATTATGATTTGCATCCATCTCCAGCACTAACCTAGAATCATAAAAAATATTGAAAAAATCAACATACAACATACCAACTAACTACTTCTCTGCCCACACTAAGCTCACCCATTGAGGAACACCACGTAGCTTCACCTTTACTCAAACGCAGCCTAACACAGAAGAAAGATAAATGACTATTGTCACAATAGCAACCACAAAATCCTCTTCCAACATATCAACTAAACTTTCCAAAGCTTCACTGAACCTTTCATTTGAATCACACCCACAAACCATAGAATTCCAAGATATATGGTAGTGATTACAATATCTTGATTAATATTCCAAAATGCTTTCCTACACAACAGCAATTAGCAGCATTCTCTTAAGAACAAAGCATTCGAATCACACCCACCATGTTGCCATACCTGTTGCTCTGACGATGAAAAATGCTGCAGCAGATGAACTTTCAGCGAGAATCCAAACATCTGTTGCTGGCAAGAAGAAGCAGAGATGAGCAAAAGTGGAAGTGAAAAAGCAATTAACTGCATGAGCATGAAGTCGCCGCTCACCAAGAAGAAAAATTTCAGTAGCTCTTCCGGAAGTAACAGCTGCGAGCGCGTCGGAGGAAGCAGCGGCGCCGACTCTACTCGCTCCACCATTGGATTCGATCTGCACCGCATTTCCTCCACCCCCGCCGCCGCTTCTCTTATTAGGGGAGCTGTTTTTCCTCTTTTGAGACAACACAGAGAGAGATAGGGGAGGATTTTTGTTGTCCTCCTTCCTCCCTCCTTCTTATTGGCCGATCCAGAAAAAGCATGGGAGATGAAGTGTTTGAGTAGGATTGGTTTCTTCACAATACTGAGAAGCAATCAAGAGTGGTGAGAGGAAGTGAGATGATTGAGGAGGTGACGTGAGAATACGGATTTTGGGCAAGTTCGTGAGAGAAAAGGAGGTATGGTGGAGAAGCACAGTTAGAGAAGCAGATAGGAAAAGCATGGTGAATTGTGCAGCAGAGGCAGAGAAAGTCTCGAAGCACAGTTGGGAGTTGGGACTCTCGGAAACTTTTGGAATTGGGAAACTCTTTCGCAAAAGGGCTCCAAAACCCGCTAGCAGACAGAAAGTCATACAGTAGAGGAGAAAAAGCGTACCCACTCTTTATATTTTAAAGAATGATATAACTTCAAGTTGCACTTTATAGAACCAATGCTTTAAAGCATAGTAGAAATGCTCTTTTTGGAATCATCCGAATATTTTGTAGGAGATATTGGGTGTTCTTTGATATTTTTGTAATAGGAGTTGGTTATAGATAGTTTAACAAAATTTATCAAGTTATCCATTTTATGATTGGGATATAGATTTATTAAGTAAATACAAAAGAATAATCATATCTAAACCTAAGTATCCCCCTCCTTTCCTCTCAACTCAATTCTCTCTCTTTCTCTCTCCCTCGTCTACTTGCAACCCGACCAGAACACTCTCTTCTTCCTCCCTCTACTTTCTTCCAATCCAAGCTACCTCCTTGTTCTCCTATTCTCTCTCAAAATCCTCCGAACTTCATATTCACAATCTTATTCCCAATTATCTATCTGTACCATCGACATCTTAGATCAATACTTCATCAGTGGTATCAAAGCTTCTCCGAGTGTCAATATTTCTATGTGAGAAGCAAAGATTCCATCGTTGAGCATCCTCTGCGTGAGCTGGATGTCATAGACAACACCAATGTTGAATGCTTCAAAGATGTGGTGGTTTCTATGGTGAATTACTAGATCAACCTGGATGACATGCTCCAAGTGTTGTCACTACGCTTAAGGAAACTTCGTAGAGGACAAGGGAAGATATGAAAGAATTCCATAACAAGATGATGGAGATGATGACTCAGGTGATGATTTAGAAGGGAGCGGGGCAGAGGTGACAGAGGAAACCCTCGGGGTTCTAATGAACCCATTGTCGATGTCGGCCTTTGCCGTATCTATGTCATCATCATCATCATCGGCAGGAGTGCCTGCGACAAAAGGAGATGAGAAACCGTTGCAATAGATGAAGCCTCAGATAGGGTAGATCTTATGCTAGTGGGACGAGGTTTTACTGAGCTGGATTCATCAGCAATCATGCTGCCCACACCGAGAATGACGAAATTGGCAGTTGCCAGAGGAAAGGCCAAGGTAGCTAGCTTCTACTCATTGGGCCTACTAATGGTGGGATCGAGTTGACGGTCCATAATAGAGAAGATCAATCATGGGCTGACATAGTGGGCATGAATGTCCGTGATGAAAAGTGTGATTGAGCTACTCGAGAAAAGCAAGATGAAGAAAGAGACTGTTCGAGCCAATTGGGCCCAAATTAGGCCGTTGAGCTA